TTTTTTCTAGGTAGGGTGGTGAGATGGTGAGTTTGCTGATTTCGTGTTCTATCTGTTATTTTATTGGGTTGGATTTTTTGTTTAATTAAACATCCTGCATACTATTGCTTCTTGCTAGTTTTGAATTCCTTAATTTCTTATTTTGCAGTTTATGTCTGTTTGGGCTTTAGTTGATATGCATTACTTTTTGTGTGGTCCATGTTGAGGGGGGTTACATTTTACTAGTATTTGTTTCTGTTTATAAACCTAACACTAGGGTTGTTCCTTAATGAAATTTGGAAGTTGTGATTTTTTCGTTGGTGTTGGTAGGGTTAGTTGTTTTGGGTGTCTCCGTTTATTTATTTGTATCAAGTACGAATCTAGTTTTACATTGCGTACTTGGGCGGAGGGTTATTTTGATGTTTGCATGTGTTTAATTCTGTTATTTGGGTTTTCTGTTTTAAGTTTTATTATGCGGATTAAGGGTGTGTATTATTTGTTGTTTAATTTTCTTTTCTGATCTAGCATATTGTATAATGCAGTGGATTGTAAATCCTTGTAAAACTAATTGACTCGGCCAGGTCGGAAGTTAAAATAGTTATATATTTTATTAACCCACATAAAAATTAGAATGTTAGTTTTGGGGATTGGAGGACCTTTTTGGGAAGTCAGAGAGTGAAAATAGGGCTGGTATTTGCAGGTTATTTGATATAGTAAACTTAATACTTGTGTTGATGGTGGCAGATCAACCACATTACGACGCAACAACAAAACCATTTCTTTACTGATACAAACACAAACTGAGAGAGCGGGAGACAAAGAGAGAGAGAGAGAGGAAAACTGAGAGTGAGAGAGAGATAGAGACTGAGAGAGAGAGAGACTAAGATTGATAGAGAGCGAGAGATAGACTGAGGAAAAGAGATAGAGACTAGAGAGGGAGAGAGTGGGGAGATATTGAGAAAGAGCGAGAGACAGAAAGAGAGAGAGAGACAGGCAGAGAGATGGAGAGTGAGCCTGGGAGATAGAGAGAGGCTGAGTGAGAGAGAAAGAGACCGAGAGACAGAGTGAGTGAGAATGAGAGGTAGAGCGCAGGATACTGAGAGGGAGAGAAAGACGGAGTGATAGATTGAGAGGCTGTGAGTGATAAAGAGAGCGAGACTGAGCTAGACGGTGGGAGCGAATGAGAGTGTGAGATAGTGAGAAAGATAGAGTGTGACTCTGAGCGAGAGAGGAAGAGGCTGCCTGACAGAGTGATAGGGACTCATAGAGAGAGAGAGAGAGAGAGAGACTAAGAGAGAGATAGACTGAGAGTGAGAGACAGATTGAGTTAGAGAGACAGAGACAGCGAGAGACAGACAGACTAAGGGAGATAAAGAGAAAGAGATAATGAGAGACTGGGATAGAGTGAGCGAGAAGGACTGAGCCACATGGACAGTGAATGAGATACACTGATAGATAGTTATTGAGGTAGAGACTGAGAGAAAGTGAGACACTGAAAAAGGGTGAGAGAGAGACACAGAGTGAGAGTGGGAGAC